CTCTCCCAAAAATATGAAGAAATCATCTAGAATCATTAATTCATCGTAGTCTAGTTCAGGTAAAATTTAAAAAGAATGTTTTTGCTGTTTTGCCATATACACTACAAAACAATTTGCATATTAGAATTTGTGAAACTTTGTTATATCTTTATAAATTGTAATTTATTGTTTGATTTAACAATTGTATTAAATTTGACAAATGAAAAAATGCTATTTCCGACCCATAAGTACTTCTAATTTTAAGGTGTTTAATAAATTCTGGTTCCGTAATTACATACATATTTTATAAAATAAAATATTTTATTAAAAACATCGAAAAATCTAATTACTCAACTTAAGTTAATCAATGATTTAATTACCGTCAGTGCCTCTAGTGTTTATCTCAGAAGACGTGTTTGAAACAGTCCATTGTCTTTTGTTTAAATTGTGTTGTTGTTTTACAGAGGAACGAGAGAAGTTTAATTGTTAACGACTATATATCGTACCAATTGAAGATGAATGGATTCGAATGGAGGTCATCAACAGCAACTCTGAATAGTGAACATGTCACTCGGATCGCTCGGAAAGGAATTCAAAACCCTACATCGAGTCAAGATTTACAAAATGACTGCCAAACGGGACATACAACATGCTGCTCGTGTTACTTTCTTAGAAGTTGCCAACGAAATATTCAGCGATGGAATTACTTGGTCTAAAATCATGTCATTGTTCTCGTTTGCTAGTGAAATGACTGTCATTTGTTATAGAGTAAATATTACGGAAATTATCAATGAAATTCAATATATGAGCTCAACAATTCTGCAATTTCATTGATAATTTCCGTAATATTTACTCTATAACAAATGACAGCCATTTCACTAGCAAACAAGAACAATGACATGATTTTAGACCAAGTAATTCCATCGCTGAATATTTCGTTGGCAACTTCTAAGAAAGTAACACGAGCAGCATGTTGCTGTGTATCCATATTAGTAATTTAGTTTTAATATATGAGCTCAACAATTCTGCAAACTAAATTACTAATATGGATACACAGCAATGGTCTTGTAGCTTTCTACGAAGACAGATGCAATAACGTATAAATATTTCGTGAAAGCAACTCTGCTCTCAACACCATAGCATTTTAATTTTAATTCACAAAAGTGTGTGAGTTGTAAACATTTCAATGAATAATTGTTTTAACATTTTGTATCTTTCTGTAAGATTTATTAAAAAATAACACGAAAGAAAAATTTATGTATACATCAATAATTGATTATTATTTAAGTTTGAAACACTATCGGAAACTTTCTACGTCTTCAATGTATAAGACGATTTCTTATACACGGATGCCATCGAAAATCATCAAAGAATTAGATATTATTTTGAAGGTAAAATATGAGCAAAGTAACAAAATATACGGATATAACTTCTAAAACAATTGAAAGAAAAAATAAGAAGCGAAGTTTTAAAAGTTTTGTGAAAAATTTATGGAAGAATTATACTAAAGGTGCAATCGATTATTCTAATTCTTCTCATTCTATAAAGACAAACAAGAGAAAATATAGCATTTCCAGTAATAGTTTCTATGAAAGTTTTAACTATAATAAAAACAATTATATTCATGAAAATATAAATCTTCAAAGACTGCAAAATTTAAACAAAGGTAAACTTATTTACAAAATTTTTTTTAAATTAACATGACCTTGATTATATGCTATAGTTTTTTAAATATATTTTGTTATCGTGATTTTCAAATAATCCTTAACGATTTCATTTATTGGAGTTTTCGATTATAAAATTAAACTTTATATAACTTTAATTTTTAATTAATTATATTTCTGGCTTTAAAAATTATCTAATTAATTATTCTTTTTTAAAATAATTTTATCATAAATAGCAATAAACTAGAAATTTTATTTATTTATTATTTTTTAAACATTTTAATAAATAAAAATATTATTAAGCATCTAACTTGATATTCTACAAATTCATATGATAAAATATTAATAGATATTAATTAAATTCCCGAAAACAAATTTAAGTGTAATATAATNTTTGTTTTGTTTTTTCAGACAATTTCGAACAAACAAATGAATTTCCTTTGCTGCTAAACTAATTCATTAATGCCTGCACTTAATTTCAAGGGTGGAAGAAGTGCCCGAGGTGGGTTTGAACGAGTTTAGACCATAAGTGGCAATTTAATGGTTTTATTGAAGGGTGCGTCATTAAGGAAGGGGAGAGGGAGAGCATTAATGCTTAACCACAAGAACGGCTTTCGAAATTGATTCCCATACTTTCTCTTAAATTGATATTTCATACATTGTTATAAATATTTTAATATATTTCGATGTTTTAACCTAATGTTCGAACCGTTTTAAATCAATTTGTCTCTGCCAACCATTAGGCCATAAAATATATCAAGAATTCGCTTCATGGTTGAAAAACAGCACTCAACAAATGCACTCGTAGATGGTACCGCAAAAATCAATATTAAATCATATAATTCTTTTATCTGAGCAACACTGTCTTATTAACATATAATTAACTGTTTTGTCACTTTGAAAAGCTGGGATCACAGTTCCACGAACTTTGATAGTTACACTTTCGTAACATCGTAACGTTCTATATTTAAATCCGAGTTTATATTTGACAATGACAATTTATTTTTCAATATTAACTTCGTAAAAACAAATAAAATAATAAATAACCAAAATAAGCATTTAGTCTGAATTTTAAATAAAAAACAATAAATGTATTAACTAAATTTACAAACATCTATGTTTCACATAACTAATCTCTCTAATTTTAAGATGTAAAGTTATATAACAAAAATATATAAATTACTGTCTGTAAGATGTGCAACTAATACTACATATAAAATAGAAACATTTTGTTTGGAAATAAAACAACAATAGACGGGGCATGTATTAGAGCAACGCTTATCGTACCTTGTGTGTTCACACATGCATTTAAAGTTTTTTTTTCTATTTACGCGAAAGCAATTGGAAAACTACAACAAAATATGGTTCTAATTGTTTTTCTCTAATGAAACCAATCCTCTGAATTTAATTTTAGTCTTGTATTATTTAATAACGGTATTGAATATATTACAATAGATTCTCGTTAATTCGAATTATAACTGTGTTAAAAATTTTAACTGCTACAAAACAAATTCATTGTTTATAGACTGAAGAGAATTCCGATCCAAAATGCATTTAAATAAAATATCTGAAAATTAATCGTCGTCTTAGTAATTCTTGAACTCGGGTGAATGTCGGAATCAAAGGACAAAACATTTCAGTTTATTATTTAATTATATTTTCCAAAAGACAATTTATGTACATGACAGGGATCTATCGAGCATTTTGACACCAAAATCTAACGTGGAATTTTTTTTTTTTTAAATCAGACACGAAAGTAGAAAAGTTACATCAGAAGCTTGTGATTGGATCAGGCAAAAATAAACAACATAATGTTTGTGTTTTGAATCTATCCACTTATGTATAGTGAAATTTATTTGCTATTTTATAATTAATTAATCATCGGTGTTGTAGTTACAATTTAAAAATATATAAACGAAAAAATATATACTGCACATTTATTAATACATCTGCGTATGTAGAAATAATTATAAATTTATTTTATTCAGACCTAGCTGTAAGTAATAACCGGAAGGCACCGAAATTTTCATGTGTAGTAGTTTAGAAATGAAGTGGAAAATTTCACGTAAAAGTTTTAATTTTAAAATCTGCGGATAGGGACAATATAGAGTTGTACAACAAGAGACACACTAAAGAAAGAAAGAAAAAAAAAAACAAAAATAAATAAGATAAATCTTGTAAAACACTGAATTAACCTACAATTTGAAATTTTAAAATAAAAAGAAAACAGAAAATTNCGTGGGATTTTTTTTTTTTTTAAATCAGACACGAAAGTAGAAAAGTTACATCAGAAGCTTGTGATTGGATCAGGCAAAAATAAACAACATAATGTTTGTGTTTTGAATCTATCCACTTATGTATAGTGAAATTTATTTGCTATTTTATAATTAATTAATCATCGGTGTTGTAGTTACAATTTAAAAATATATAAACGAAAAAATATATACTGCACATTTATTAATACATCTGCGTATGTAGAAATAATTATAAATTTATTTTATTCAGACCTAGCTGTAAGTAATAACCGGAAGGCACCGAAATTTTCATGTGTAGTAGTTTAGAAATGAAGTGGAAAATTTCACGTAAAAGTTTTAATTTTAAAACCTGCGGATAGGGACAATATAGAGTTGTACAACAAGAGACACACTAAAGAAAGAAAGAAAAAAAAAGGTACCGAGATTTTTATATGTAGTAGTAAAGAAATGAAGTGAAAAATTTCGCGTAAATGTTTTAATTTTAGAACCTGCGGATAGGGACAATATAGAGTTGTATAAGACGCACATTAGAAAATCAAAAATAAATAAAACAAATCTTGTTAAAAACTGAATTAACTTACAATTTGGAATTTTAAAATAAAAATAAAACAGAAAATTAAGCAGCAGTAAAAAACCNAAGAAACTGATGGAGGATGTTGAAAGGTATATTAAACTTAATACTTTTTAAAATAAAAATCAAAATAAAACAGCTTATTGTTAATAAGTCAGCTTGACCAACAGTGATAAATATTTTTGAAGTGTTCTTAACTTCATCATTCATATCATTCAAAATGTTCAAAAAAATTTTAAATGATTTTATGTTGAAATCGTTAAGTCTTGAACATATTTATTGCTATAGTTCTACTTGACACAAACATTTGAAACTCGTTGAATCAATTTTAACCTAGCAATTGTTTTTGACTTTGATAACTTTTACGTGACAATAACATTAAAACTTTATAGTATTTATGTGAAATATTAGAAAAATTTTATACTTTATTGGGATGCAATTTTAAAAAATTGTAGACCTATAAATTCTCACTGTTGTCCATCTTTCTGTCTGTCCTTTAATCTTGAGAATGATGTTAGATGAAAGTCAAGACCAGATATGGAAAGCGTAGGGGCAGGAGACCCCAATTAACTATATACTAGCTTCCAGTCTAGACTGGAAATCATGTGATATCAATTAAAAAATTTTTATTTCTGTGGGGATATAAGAATAGACCACATTCTTGGAATTTCCTGTAGATAGCTAAAATTTCTGATTCTAAAACAATTCCATAGAAAAATAATGACAGCCAATCTGTCGCATTTTTTCAGATGTACTAGTAAATGGAACAGAACAAGCATTAACAATGAATGACCACCATTATCAGCGACCCTGGGGATTTTGCCAGCATCTACGTGAACCACCTCTTTATGTATATAACGAAAGAAAATTAGTCAACTAAATTCCTAACGTATGAGTAAACCCTAATAAATTTCGTTGAAAAGAACTCAGAGATGGAAATAAATAAAATATATTTTCATACAGAAGAGTTCCGAAAACTCGGCACTTGATAACTCGGCAGTCCGGGTAACTCGGCCAAACCCTGGCAGGGCAAAAAAACCCTTAGTTAATTAATTTTCATTATAGACAGCTTTATGCCTCATAAAATATTTTTCTGAAGTCTGTCTTATTAGATAAATTACTGTACACAGTGTATTCATTAATTCTCATTTTCATGTAGTAAAGGCTCTGTGCTTTTATAAAGTACGTACTTTTTTTTGTTTAAGGGTATTTGGGCAGTTTATTCCGTTTTGTATTCTCAAGCAAACAATACATACAAGTCCAGTATTTTTTGAGGAAACACTCGTACTTAATTTTTTTTACCTCATTTCCGATAACCCGGCATTTTCACAAACTCGTCCACAC